GTATGCCGAAACAGAAGGATTTGTGTTTGTTATTCAAGACCAAGTAATCAATACCAAGAATTATAGAAAATACATCATCAAAGATCCGAACATAAAAAACGACTGCTGTCGCCTATGCAAAGCAAAACCTGAAACGATCCAGCACATAATCTCTTCTTGCAGCATCCTAGCACAAACTGATTACAAAGCTAGACACGACAACGCAGCCAAAATCATTCACAAAGAATTAGCAACACTTATGAACTTAATCGAAGATACGACACCCTATTACACTTACATTCCGTCTCCATTCCTTGAAAATAACAAATACAAATTATACTGGGATCGCACAATACTTACAGACTTAAACATTACAGCTAACAGACCAGACATCATACTTATCAAAAAACACACGAACGAAGCCATTCTCATTGACATTGCTATTCCCAACACAAACAACATTATTCAAACATACGACACCAAGATTTCCAAATATCTACAATTATCGATAGAAATGAAATCCATGTTAAATCTTAAAAAAATTTCAATTCTACCCCTAGTTATCTCTAATGTAGGTGTAGTTCCAAATAGCTTAGTTGAGAATTTAAAGTCTTTGCACTTGAATGATTCAATAATTGTCAAAATTCAAAAAGCTGTTTTGTTAGGAACATGTCATATTGTTCGTAAGTTTTTTGAACAGTCTGATCATGTCAGTCAGATTAGATTAGCACCAGTAGGTCAGAGTAGTGTAGGTCACTTTTCATGTGATGCGCGGATAAATGATCGGTAGTTACGCTTGACTTTTGGGGATGGGGTGAGATTAGAGAATAATAGCAGACTAATTTGTATGCTGTAATTCTAGAATCTCGAAAGTTGTTCTGTTAATCTAATCAAAGCATATCATTACTTGGTCTTAGTACCCGTAATGATAGAAGTCTTGCCTGAATGCCGGTCATTTCCGGGTCAGTGGTGGGTCTTAACATAATAATAATAATATCTGGAAAGTGGCTTCCGTAAATTTTAGTGGCGCTCCTATCGGCAAAGTACTGAACTAACTGCTCAAATTCTGTCGAATTGATACCCATTTTTTTCAATAATTGTTAGTTTTTGTTAAAAACTCTGCTAACCAATAGATTATTAATTTTCCTCTGATATTCCTGTTAAAATTATTCGATGTATTTTGCATTAATTTGTGGTATATTTTGATTTTAATAAACGCATTATTATTTAAACAAATTGTACCACTAACAAACATTCAATGACTCTGCGCCCTGTAAAAGTGATGTTTTATCCATGTGCGAATTTTCAAGCGATTCTATGATGGTTATGACTCAAAAAACTTGAAAAGAAAACATACAATGGTGCTTTTTTTACGATATTTCTCAGCCATATTTTTTTAGTTCATTTAACTGGTCTCTGCGCTCTAGAATATGAAAAAAGTTGTAGTTTGATGTATGATACATCTATATTAATATCATTTTTTAATACAAAAAACCAAAAAAATGTTATACCTCCTCTAGCGAGTCCCCTTAAGTGGTATCAATATCTAGAAAAAATCATTTGAAATTAAATATAAGTTGCTATACAGGCCACTGCTTGTGTCTCTTGACCACCACAACTACTACATAATGAATGGCACAGAACGACTAGAATTAAGAACCACAAAAACGGCGCATTGATAATCAATGTGCAAAAACACGATAAGGGCGAGTCATAAATCAGTTGGTTTCCGTCGTGTGTTCAGTTAACCTCTTTAACGAAGGTGATAGAACGTGTAGCTGATGTTTTTTCTATATTTCCACTTTACTACAGTTGCTATAGATACATAAAGAAATTTAAACTTTTAAAAATGTTCACTTTTTTAAGAAAACTAACCGATTTTTTTTAGATTTAAAAGTATGTCACGTAGATTAATTTTATTTCTAAAAAATACAGATCAAGTGGGATATTTAAACTTATTACCATTTTTCAAAAAAAATGTCAATAGACAAAATAAATATTTTTTTTTATTTACGAGTGTATTATCCTGTAAAAGGTGGAGAAATGCAGTCATAAAAACCTGCCACGCTCCTGAAGTATGCAACACCGGCAAGTACGCAGGGCGTATATTTCGATATAAATTATTGTACAGTGACAATGTTCCCTTTGTATACAATCAAGTTTTATGATGGCCAGTTAACTTCACAGCGATTCATACCTACCATAAAGTGCAATTTTAAAACCGAACAACTAGAAGACCAATAATCCGAGCGGTCCTTAACTACCTTTCTTCTGGTTGAACAACAGCGACTGTAAACAAATTTTTTTTTAATAAAGTAACTGAATGCACATACACAAGTTATTACGGACGTGCGCCGGCAAATTAAAAATTATGGCAGTCAACAAGAGAACAAAAATTTTAATAAAACCCTATGCACCAGAGCGCCTCCCCGTGAATGCCTATGACTCCAAAAGTTGAGGGGGCACCCGGATGGCTAAAAGAGTGTGGCGATCGAACTATTCGAACTATATCAATTTCATTCTAGAGCACAGCACAATTTCCCATAGGTGGCGTTGTAGAACGAGTGGAGTTTGGACCTCCTGGTTGTGGTTGTTCTCCCAACACGACGGTGATTCTACTCTATCGACAAGCACATGCCGCCCAGCACCCCTCTATCTAACAAAGAAACGTGCCGCCGTAACCGGCCGTTACAGTCGCAAACTCGTAGTTGGAAATCTCGACTATTGGGACAAGCGGTGAGCGTCACGCGATAAATCCCGCCAGCTCGACTAGGAACCGCGCTCTCCGTTTCCACACCACATGTTCCTGTGTTATTAACCCCAATTCTATTTAAATTTTAATGTTCAATTTCTATGACTCTGATATTGAACTACAACCGAACAAGTGTAGCATACCATGTCTTCTTGTTCTGGAGTATATCTCGACTTGTTTTGACGACTCTGATCTAGTAGTCTAGTAAGTGTTTATTTTTACCCTACAGGCTTAAAAGATTCTTGACACTACAATTTTTTTCCTAATTAACAAAACCAAATAAATACATTTTATAAACCAAATAACTCATTTTTTTTTCTTTACACCATCCCCCCTTGCCTCAGCCTTACTCTTGTTCTCTCCACTTCTTTCATCGATTCCACCCCTCTTCCGTCTTCATTCAATATCTCTGTCACACTCTCCTCACAGTCATGCAACATGTGCTCTATCGTCTCTCGCCCTTCTCCACACATCCTACAGATTCTCTCACTTTCGCTTACCCAAAACTTATTATTTTTTTCTTCATTTCCACACCTAAATCTCGCAATTATTTTTTTTTTCTTTCGCGCTTTCTCTGTCTAGGTACTTTGGTATTGTTTCTGTTATTATCTTTCCATAGTCTGCATTGTACCTAGATTTACTTACACTCGCTCTTCTCTCTTGTTTATTAATGTCTCTGTCACGCATACACAACTCTTCTCTCATACTCACCCCTATTTCTCTCTTTCTCTCTATTTCCATCCATGCGTATCCTAGTCTTTCATAATATCCTTGTCTATCCTTGTGATGTTCTTTCCCTGCTTCCTTTTTTTTTCCTTCCAGCATTCATACAATATCCTACATTCTTCTCTTTCTTTCAACCTTTCATCATACTTTACAGTCCTTTTCCCAGTGTATACTCTTAATTTCTCTCGTTTACATTCTTCTATTACTATATAGCCTGGCGTCTCTTTCCGTAGCCCTAACATCCACCTCAAATATTTTTCTTGTACTGCGTCAATCTCTGCATATTCCTTCCATCCCCATATCTCCACTCCATACATTAATACACTCCTAACTAAACTATCAAACATTTTCATCCTTCTTCTTACGTCATGCCCAAATATTCTCTCACCTCTACTCCACACCATTCCCATTATCTGCATTGCTTTGACCCTTCTTTCTCTTATGTGTGCTTTTACCGTGTTAGTTGTTGTAAACTTAAATCCTAAATATTTAAACTCCTTTACTGTGTCTATGATTCGATCTTCCCAACGCCACACTTTTTCCTCCCCTTTTCTCCTTTTTTTCTAAACACCATCATTTTTGTTTTTTCTACATTTACTTCCAGTTTCTTTCTTTTAAAGTATCTTTGCAGATTTTTTTTCATCTCATTCATTCCACATTTATCCTTCGTCAATATTATCAAATCATCTGCAAATGCCAAACACCATACCTTTTCTCTCCTCACCACAATTCCTCCCGCTTGTACTCCTCTAAACATTTCCTCGATATCACTTATGTAACAAGCAAACAGACTGGGACTTAATGGGCATCCCTGTCTTAATCCTTTCGTCATCCAAAACATTTCACTTTCTATTCCTCCCACTCTCACACTAGTCACTGTCTCTCTATAAATCTCTCTTGCTGCTACAATTAACTTTTCACTCAGTCCTCTTCTCTCCATGCATTCCCACAAACACTCTCTGTCCACCGTATCAAACGCTTCTTTTAGGTCTACAAACAGTGCATATACCCGACCTCTTTCCTTTAGCAACTCTTTTTCAATTAGATCATGCAGGATATACAGGGACATTTTTTTAACTCTGAACATACACCATAAAATCCCTATGTTCAATCTGAAAAAAAACACATCAATGTCACACGGATATCCGTAATCTGTGTCAATGTATTGGAAGTATGCAACCAATATTACATGGAACCTACGTGATAAGTAGAAAAAACATATTTAAACTTGTCAACTTGTCAAAATATAATTTGAAAATTTGAGAATACAAACAATGTTTTATACAACGGAAGAGAAAGTACAAATTTTAACTTGGTATCGTAGGCACAGATTGTACGTGATCTTTTTTCAGTCAATTATGCCAATAGACCCACGGATGCGTCGCTAGAGAAACAGATCAAATTATGTCCTAACTGAAGAAGTACGAGTATACAATTAAACATCTTATGTTATCCCCGCAAAGTTTTAAAACAGTTTAAAACAAATGTTATAGATTCACCAAATCATCAAAACTAAGTCCAGAAGTAAAATTAAAAGAACGGATTTTTGAGAAACAGTATTTAATTTAAGAAACAATAAAAACATTTTACAAAACATCGTATTTGCAGATGAAGCATTATTATCATTAGATGGTGAAGTCTATTCCCAAAGTTATCGGTTAGTCCTGTTAACTCCCTTGTCCCTTCATATCTTTTTCTTTTCTTTACAGATATTAGTCAAATGCTAATCCTCGTCTGTAAAATTTGACAAGAGCATAATATAACCGTAGGGCTAAAATGTTGGAAGGAAATATAAACCAAACCTTAAACCTGGCCCATTTTTTATTGAAGAAAATTTGAATTCTGATTCCTTTTTATGACTGCTTCGTTACCACATAGTGCACCAAATTCAAAACTTAAATATTAATGATGACTGGTTTCGTTTCAAATGAATGGAAGTCCTCCACATCCAACTGCAATAACACATTATTTACACGAAATTTTTAGAGCAATTGAGCAAAAAAATAATACGTACCTACCCACAATTCGAATGATTACATGGCGATAGAACCAATTTAATATTTGTACATTTTCTTCTGTTGTATTCATTTCTTAAATTTCCAAATTATATTTTGACAAGTTGACAAGTTGGCAAGTTTAATTTTTTTCTATTAATCACGTAGGTTTGATGTAATCTTGGTTGTATACTTTCAATACATTGATGTGTTTTTTTTTTTTTGTTCAGATTGAACATAGGGACTTTCTGGTGTATGTTCAGAGTTAAAAAAATGTCCCTGTATACATTGTCCATAGCCCCTCTACCTCTTCTAAATCCCGCTTGACTTTCCGGTAATATAGTCTTTTCGTTCATCTCTGTCACCAACTTTTCATTTAACACCATTGCACAGTGTATATGCCGTATTTAGGAGAGTTATTCCCCGATAATTCTCTGCTTTTTCTTTACTACCTTTTTTATGAATTGGGCATATTTGCCCTACTCTCCATTCTCTGGAAAAACCTTTACCCGTCCACACATCATTCATTAACTCGCTCAATCTTTCAATCATCCCATCTGTCCCAAATATTCACACTTCGTTTGCCAACCCATCCCTCCCCGGTGCTTTTCCTCTTTTCAGTCTTCCTACTTATTTTCCTATTTCCTCTACTCGAATCTCAGCCTCCCTTTCTCTACCACCAACCCCGGTTTTACTATCTTGCACTACAATTCTCTCTTCCTGTCCATTCAACAGTTCCATAAAATGTTTCGTCCACTGCATTATAGGTATGTCTTCACTAATCGTGATTTTGTTCTTGCGTTCTTTATTTACATACTAACATGCCTCTTGCTCAGTTCTTATGGCTTTAATTTTTTCTTCTTCTTCTTGCTGTATCTCTTCTTTCTTTTTTTGCATCGTTTTCTATAATTATTTTTTGCTTGCCAGTACTCTTCTTTTATACCTTTCCCCTTTTTCCACCTTCGTAAACATTTTCTTGCTTCTGTTTTTAAATCTCTGCATCTGCTATCCCACCATCTGTTTCTCTTTTCTAAATTTCTCGTTAAAATTGCTTTTCTTATGGCTGCGTTTTCAATTTCTCTTTTTAATTCTTCCATCTTCTTTTCAGTTCCTTTTTCTTTAAATTCCACTTCCAACATTTTTTTTTATAATGGTCAATTCCTTTTCCATTCCATACCCATATCTTCTTCTCTTTTCCTACTTCATTCCTTAAGCATCCGCTCCCTCTACATATTCCCCTCACTTTTACTTCTAGTGGCATGTGATCGGAGTCCACTCTTTCTCCTATCTTGAATGTTTCTACCTCTTCTTCTGCTAATCCGTTTACTATTACGTAGTCGATTACCATTTCCCCTCTTTTACCTATCCAGGTAAATTCCACCTCCTTGTCCCATTCCTTCACCCCATTCAAGACTTCCCAACCTTTCTTCAATTAATTCCCATAGCAATTTTCCGTCTTTGTTTTCTACTTTATCTTTCGATTTTCGTGTGTTTTCCCCGTCTTCTTCCCTGCTTCTGTTCCCTATTCTGGCATTAAAGTCCCCTTCTAACAATAGAACTTCTTCTTCGGACTTTTCGATTTTTGCTTGTATTTCCTGTTTCGTGTTTCTCATTCTTCTACTATATATTGTGTAGATTCTCCATCTTTTTTATTTACAGTCAGTTTTCTCTCAACTATGCCTTCCATTTCTATTGCCCCCTCTTCTATTTCTTTTATATCTTTCTTCACTCCTGTTATGATTCCACCTTTTGCTCTACCCTTGCGTTTTTCTTTTTTTGCCCCTTGCAATTTCCACTGAAATTCCTTTGGCAACACGTCTTTCAGTTTGTTCCAGTCTCTCTCTAGTATCCATGTTTCTGTTAGTTCCACAAAATCAAAATTTTTCACGTAGTCCCAAAATAAATTATCTTTCTTTTTCAAACCCGCAATATTCCAAAAGAGTAATTTTAAGCCACGTTTATCTTCCCCATTCTTCTTTCCCATTCCCCTATTATGTACAAAATCTACATTTTTAAACCTAAAGTCTTTATTTGTAACATCATTACTACCCCTCCCCTTTTTTCTTCCAATCTTCGTTTATTTTCATTCCATGTATACATTTTGTCCCCTACTTCCAGCTTCTTATATCGCACCCTTGTTGTGTATCCTTTTTTTCTTTCCTCTTTAGCTATCTCCCTAATTTCTTTTTGAATTTTTTGCTCTTGTACTGTCCAATCATTATCAATATTTATTCTTTTTCCTCTCAGTTTATTTTTATTCTTCATCACCTCTTGTTTTTCCTCCCAAAGCGTCTTAACCAGTATTTTCTTGCTTTCCTCTTTCCCTATAATTATTGTTTCCAACACTTTTACTTCTACCTCAATTTCTTTTTTCAAAAATTCCTCTACTTCTTTTGCATCTGTTTTTTCCCTTATTTCCATACCCGTAATTATGAAATTGTTTCTTCTTTCTTGCCACTCTTTTGTTTCCAACTTCTTCTCTAAATTATTGATTCTTTCTTCGAAGCTTCTCTCCTTTTCTGTCCATTCTTGTCTTTCTCTTTCCAGTATTCCATTTATTGTCTGTAATTCTTTTTTTACCCCTCTATTTTCTTCTCTCAGTTGTTTCATTTCTTCCATTTGTTGCTTCATCATTTCCATCAACGGCTCTGGTCCTTGCTTTATTTGTTCTCTTTCTTCCATTTTCAATGTTTTTGCTGGCTCACTGTTTACTATGACTTTAACTTCAGCTGTTGCTAACAATGTGCACTCGCTCGCCGCTCAACCAGACGACTCTGATCAATATGACGTACTTGCGATATGCACCTTATTTTGCGAAAAGGAGACGATTGGATTAATTTTGCACATTCTGGCGTTTGTAGGTTAAACAAAGGCTGATTACCTTATTTCTAACTACCAACGTGCATTTTGTCGCAAGTAGCAAGAAGTTGAGTAAAACAATAAATGTTTTGTTGTAAAAAAGGTTTAGCTCATAATCCAGGTGCCTAGATCTAGATATGTAGAAGCAAGGAGAAACGCTTGGGGCAGCTAAATCGTCGGCGAGTGAAAAGGGTTCATCGAGCCTGAAAGTAAGAAGAGTTTAAGGTGGTGACAGGTGAGCCGTAGGTTTGCAGGTGTGTTCAAGAATCGTAGTATTAGTAGGTATCAAGGATCAACGCAAACAACTGCAGGAACAATCGCAACCTGTCCTACTTTCTCTTCCAGTTTCTAGAATTTTCTAAACTCTTTCTTTACCTACTTCCACCTCTCCAAAACCGAACTTACCTGTCGACAATTGTTTAACCTTCCTTCTTCTTCCTCGAGCCTTCAAACCGTAAGCTTCTAATAAAAATCTGAAAACCGTAACCGTGGCTATTTCTGAAAATCACCAACGATACCAACACAACTATCGCTTTTATTTTCATACTTTTATTTATATACTTATCTTAGTGTGATAAATAGGTACATGTATTTTATTACAAAACACCCTGTATAGTCACAGGGTGTTTTGTATTAAAAAAAAAAGTAGGAGACAGCACCTTTGACGAAGTTTTTAATTACCTAGACATCCGATAATGTTAATGTTCATGATACATAAATACATAAACATAAAATAACAATATAACATTTATAACACATAACACAGAATATTTACATCGAGTTTAAAATTTAAGAATTGGTCAAATCCATCGATATACACGTAAGAAAACAGTGCAAATTTCAGTGTTTAACAAATATTGTACGTTTATATTTAAAACATCTTAAAATAATTAGATCCTACATAACTGTGTTGCAAATCGCTGAAATATCTGGCCATTCCTCTACAAATTTTTAAAACTGGATTTGAACATTAGTAACTTCTATGATGCACATTGTTTTATTGTTTATGTTTTTCTTTTATATAACTCATACCTACAAAATTGTTAACAAATTTAATTCTGATCTATGTGCTCATTTACGTTGGTCGGTTAAGGTCCATTTACCACGATGCACTACAATAACTGATATATTTATAAAGCAATAAATTCAGTGGTAGTAGACTAATTTTTCGTAATTATGTCTTTTTGGTGTTCAAAGTGACATCGTTTCGATGGAATTGTGTAATTTTAATCGTGTATTTAATGGCAGTTTGTCAAATTTTTCACATGTATCTTTACTTTTAAAAGATTTATGAAAATTTTTAAGAATTTATAGTTCTAATATGTTTTATTTAATAGTAATAGTAATAGTAATAGTAATAGTAATAGTAATTTATTCATGACAAGAATTACATAGTAATTTTTGATACGTCAAATATAAGTAGGTACACTAGCGAAAATTAAATTTTACAAATTCTTCTAAAGAATAAAAAGCATTCTCAATTAATAAGGTTTTTACACAAAATCTAAAACTGGCGTAATTTCTGTCTTTAAGACTTGGTGGAAGACTGTTAGGGAGCTGATAACAAAAGATTAGGGGAAGTAGCTATAAGTGTTGTATCGTCTGCATACAATATAAAGTTAGTATCATGATCGCAGTCAGGTAAATCGTTAATCAAGATAAAACATAAAATCGGTCCTAAGACCGACCCTTGGGGTACGCCTTGCTGCACAGTTAGACATGACGAATTTACATCATTAAAATGAACAAATTGTTTACGTTCGTGCAACTACGATTCTAACAATTTAATACATGAGTTGTCTAAATTATAATAGGATAATTTTTTTAGAAATAAGCTATGTGAAACACAATCAAATGCTTTTGTTAAGTCTAGGCATAAAGCGTGTGCATACTCTTTGTTCTCAAAGGCATTTAAGAGTATATCACTTAATCTGTTTATAGCTAGGTTTGTTGACGAATTGCGACGAAAACCAAACAGATCTTTATTGAATAAGTTATTGTGTTCAAAATGAATACAAATTTGAGTTTTTAAAATAATATACTTTGCCTAGAATGGGAATTAAAGAAATTGGCCTGAAATTCGATGGATCATTCAACGATACCTTCTGATGGATTGGTATAACTTTTGATAACTTTAAAACATCAGGGAATATACCTTTGTTAATACAGATATTGATAAGTTTGGTAAAGGGAGAAACGATAACATCAATTAAGGTTTTTATTATTTTAACGTTGGTACCATAAGCATCATAACTCCACTATTTTTTAAAGTATTGATAGCATCTCTCACATTATTAAATGTCACTTCTTGAAAGATAAATTTAGGAATATTATTATTTGAAAGAAAATTGTAAGATATCTTATTAGCTTGTGGTAATTTATTAATGATATCATCGGCTATACTAACGAAATGTGTTAAATTGCGTTGATGTTATTTCAGAGTTCGATAATTTATTATGTTGCTTATTAGGATTAATAATATTCGACATTGCTTTTTGTTTATTAATAGAGTTTGCAAGGTATGTATCGTGTGATGCTTTTTTTGCTTTTTGTAATTCACTACGGTATTTCTTTCTGAAAATAGCAACTTCTTTTTAGTTATTAAACTCTTCTTGTTAAGTTCACATAGAAATTTTGAGTGTATCTCTCATATGACGTAAACTGTTGTTGAACCAACTTATTCCATATTTCAGGAACAGTTTTAGTTGGAAAACATGTATTTATAGCTCTAAGAATAGTGTCATTATTAAAGAAATCAAACTTATTATTTACGTCCGTGTCATGATCATTTATAAAACTCCAATTTTCTAATTCAATTATATTGTAAAGTTCTATATTAGTAATTGGTCTGTATGAAGTTAATTGTGTACTGCTTGTTTTGTTATTGCTTAACCAAAAACTGATACACACACCACTATGGTCAGAAATATTAGGATCATGTAAGCATCATTTCTCGTTATATCGAAAACGGTTTGCTTTAAATTGAATGACATCATATTCACAACCGTTTGTGTCTGGTAATTACGACTATTAAGAAAATGCACATTAAAATCCCCTACTATAATGATCAAGTTATTCTTTAAAATTTCTTCCAACAATAAGTTTAGTTGTTCGATAAAAGTGTTAAAATCACCTATACAGACTTATTATGAGTACACTGTCGATTTGTATGCCAGCAAATTCACATTGTTTTCTTGAGAGTATTTGTTCAAATCTATCCTTTTTATCCTGTCTAAAAATGAATTTATTGCATAAATGCTTACTCCACCATGTGTGGAGACACTTCTACTGAAGAAAGAAATCAGCCCATAACCTTCCAAACAAGTCTGATTACAATCAGAATTATTGAGCCAGTGTTCATTGAAACATAAAATCTCAAGAGGTTGTGAACATTTTAAAAATGACTCAAGTTCTATGAGTTTATTATTAATGCTTTGGATATTAAGATGATATACATTAATTAGATAGTTACGAGAAGAAATTTTGTTGGAGTTTAATTGTTGTTGTTTGACCGTTGATTCACTAAAAAAGACTTAACATTGAATTCTCTTAAACAAACAGATTCAGGCCATCAGCGTTGTAAATTTTGTCATAAAGTTCTGTTGGAACATCGATACTAAAAGCAGAGTTTTTTCCCTTCGTTTGGAGCTTCTTAATCTCAATGTTTTTAATTTCGGCAAATTCACGGATGTGATCGGCAATGTCTTGGACGGATGCAGTGTTTCCGGAGATATGTCCTACATAAATCCATTTGCGTCGAATAGCGCCCTGAATGCTCGAAGACGACGACAATTTTCCAGTACCATATAAGGATTTACCCCTGGATATCCCACCTTTACGAGTATTTTTGTTGCTATTGCTGGATCTACTTTCTACCGTTTTCCACTTTAAATTTTCTTCAGGAACATCGATTTTTGTTTGTCTGTCTTCAAATGTGCTTTTTTTATTTACAATGATATTATTATCTGGTACCTCAGCTGAACTGTAGATTGCAGTAAAATTTCCGTTCCCATGGTCTGAAATTCGACAATTCCATTTCTTTTTTGTCATCACCTTTAAAAAGCGAAGTGAATGTCGGCTTTTCTACTTCCATTGAAGAAGTTGGCGGGATATTAGCCGGTTTTTCTTTATCAATTAACTGAGTTTTTATGTCAGCGACTTCTCTATTGAGTGATCAAATTTCCTCATTTTGCTTGGTAATGATCGCTTTTAGTTTTACAATTTGATCTTGGCAGGATAACAAAGAGGACTTAATGGACATCAGTTATGAACTTACGTTTGTTCCGACGATACGACACTGGTCGCAGAACCATAACAGCGTACCATCGAGAAGGATCTTCAGTTCGGATTTTTTTAGACCCGTACATTTGATGTGATATATTATATTACATATACCACTACACTCAACTGTGTCTTCGTTTTCTTTAAATTGGAGATTGCAAACGGAGCACTTAGGTTCATCGACGCTCATCGTTGCTTACGATGCTAACTTTAAATCTTTTTTTTATGTTCCGTCAAGGATTTCGTGTTTTATGTTATTTAACAAAAAATTTCTCATTTTACTGTCAAAGTTTCGATTTTTATGCGCGTTGTCTATCGGCAGTTTCTCACTCTGGTCCACAACATACACCTTCGCACCATTCGATACTAATAATTCTAATGTCCTTAAAGTTCCATGCTCACAGGCGTAGTGTATCGGCAGTCGTCCATCTCCATCCGGAACATCCACTTTCGCACCTTTTTTGCACAAAAATAGAATTATTTCATATCCCCACCGGTCGTTTCTACACGCATAGTGCATCGGTAGCTGACCATCTTTGTCCCGAACATCAAATTTGGCTCCTTTCGTTGCCAATGATTCTACCATGGTTAAGCTTCCGTGTTCACAAGCATAATGTATCGGCAGCCGTCCATCTCCATCCGGAACATCCACTTTCGCACCTTGTCTCCACAAAAATAAAATTATTTCGTCTCCGTACCAGTCATTTCTACACGCATAGTGCATCGGTAGCTGACCACCTCTGTCTGGAGAATCAAATTTCGCTCCATTCGTTGTCAGTAATTCTACCAAGTTTAATTTTCCCTTTTCACAAGCATTATGTATGGGTAACCGACCATCTCCATCGGGAACATCCACTTTCGCACCATACTCTACTAGTAGTGGTATTATATTTGTATTAAATTTTTCAAACGCATAATGTATAGGCAGTCGTCCATCTCCATCCGGAACATCCACTTTCGCACCTTTTTTGCACAAAAATGAAATTAGTTCATATCCCCCGCACTGATTTCTGCTCGCATAGTGAATCGGTAGCTGACCACCTCTGTCCGGAACATCAAATTTGGCTCCTTTCGTTGCAAGTAATTTTACCATGGTTAAGCTTCCGTGTTCACAGGCATAATGTATCGGCAGCAGTCCATCTCCATCCGGAACATCCACTTTCGAACCATTCTTTACCAGGAGTATTATAATACCTGTATTAAATTTTTGAAATGCATAATGTATAGGCAGTTGTCCATCTCGATCCAGAACATTCACTATCGCCTCTTTTTTATGCAAAAATAAAATTATTTCATATCCCCATCGGTCATTTCTACACGCATAGTGCATCGGTAGCTGACCATTTTTGTCCCGAACATCAAATTTCGCTCCATTCCTTGCCAGTAATTTTACCATACTTAACACTCCCTGTTCACAAGCATAATGTATCGGCAACCGACCATCTCGATCCGGAATATCCACTTTCGCACCTTTTTTGCACAAAAATAAAATTATGTCATCTCCCCATCGGTCATTTCTACACGCATAGTGCATGGGTAATTGACCACCTCTGTCCAAAACATCAAATTTCGCTCCATTCGTTGCCAGCATTTCTATCATGTTTAACCTTTCGTGTTTACAAGCATAGTGTATCGGCAACCGTCCATATTCATCCGGGACATCCACTTTTGCTCCATTTTTACACAAATATAAAATTATTTCATATCCCCACTTGTAATTTCTGCACGCACAGTGTATTGGTAGCTGACCACCTCTATCTGGAACATCCAAATTCGCTGTATTCGTTGCCACTAATTCTACCATATTTAACATTCCCTGTTCACAAGCATAATGTATCGGTAGCCGTCCATCTTCATCCGGAACATCCACTTGGGCACCATTGTTGACCAGTAGGATTATAATATCTGTATCAAATTTCTGAAAAGCATAATGTATCGGTAGTCGTCCATCTGCATCCGGAACATCCACTTTCGCACCATTTTTAACTAGTACCATTATAATATCGGGACGCCAGTTTTGAAATGCATAATGTATTGGCAGTCGCCCATCTCCATCCTGAACATCCAATTTCGCTTTATGAGTTACCAGTATTTTTAGTGTTTTTAAACTTCCGTATTCACAAGCATAATGTATCGGCAGCCGTCCATCAGCATCCGGAACATTCACTTTCGCACCATTCGTTACTAGTGCTTTTATAATAGCTGTATGCAATTTTTTAAATGCACTATGAGTTGGCAACTGGCGATTTTCATGCGGAACGTCAGCTTTCCGTCTATTCTTTAGCGGTAACTCAAATAGAGCTAAATCTTTAGGTTCACAAGCATAATGTATTGGCAACCGTCCATCTTCGTCCGGAACATTCACTTTCGCACCATTCATTAGCAGCATGTCAACTACAGCTAAATCTCCATGATCACAAGCATAATGTATCGGCAGCCGTCCATCTGCATCCGGAACATCCACTTTCGCACCATTCTTTAACAGTATGTCAACTATGGCTAAATCTCCATGTTCACAAGCATAATGTATCGGCAGCCGTCCATCTGCATTCGGAACATCCATTTTCGCACCCATTCTTACTAGTACCAGTATGATATTTGGACGCCATTTTTGAAGTGCATAATATATCGGCAGTCGCGCATCTCCATCCCGAACATCCAATTTCGCTCCATAAGTTACCAGTAATTCTAGTGTTTTTGAACTTCCGTGTTCACAAGCATAATGTATCGGCAACCGACCATCTCTGTGCGGAACATCCACATTTGCACCATTCTTTAGCAGTATGTCAACCACACCTGAATCTTCATGTTCACAAGCATAATGTAAGGGCAGCCGTCCATCTGCATCCGGAACATCCACTTTAGCACCATTCTTTAACAGTATTTCTACTACACCTAAATCTCCGTCATCACAAGCGTAATGAAGCGGCAAACGACCGTCTTCATCTAAAACGTCAATTTGGGCTATGTGTTTTAAAAAATCTAAATGCCCCTTTTCAAGCGCAATATGTATGGGACGTCTTCCGTTTCTGTCCTTATTATTCGTGTTCACTTCTCTGAAAATTAATGACCGTAACGTCTTGGTTAGATTTTTTTCACATGCATAATGCGCCAACGATTGACCTTTCGTATTTGGCACATCTATTCTAAACTCTGGGAAATGTAACGCAAAACTTAATATTTCATCAATTTCCGAATCCATAATGAAAAGTTCTTCTACGCAATCCCACTCGGAATGACTTCGTTCTTCGGAAAATACTTTTTTTAAAATGTGTGTTGACTTGTTAAAAAGAGCTAAGGCTAAAATACTTCTTGAACTAATATTATTGTATGTGGTTTTTAAAGGAACAGAATTTTCAATACACTCATAAATTATTGGACAATCAAACCTAATTGCATAATATAAAACTGCCACTAAATACTCCTCAGCGAACTGATTCCCGTCATATAGTGGAATCAAAAATGGTAACAAAATCATCAGCTTTTTAAAACACACATGACCCGATGCGCTGAATTTATAAAATTTTGGTGCTATATCATGATAATTTAGAGTTCTAAAGACTTTTTTATTGTTATTAATTAACCACGCTGTGTTGAAACTCTTTCCAATCAAAATATCATTGTTTTTAACAAGTGGATAGCTTTTATTCCAGGCGCAAGCCACTTCCAAAACGTCACGACCAATAACGTCTTTTTCAGTTCGATCGGTATGTATAAATACTTCTAGAATTGTAAGATTCTTATATATAACTCCTACTAAACATTTTGAATTTCCCGCTAACATTAGATCTAAAAAAAATCGAATGTTTTTATATCTATCGTCAGAAATAAAGTTATTATCACGTGCTATAGATGCTTCGTGTTCAAATAGATATAGCGCTGCAAAATATTCACCATAGGAATTATGAATGAATTCCACATCATATTTAGATATAACGCGGCTTATAAAACCCAAATCATCTCCATCGTTTTTAATTTTTTCTACAAAACTGTCAGACGTCCGGCCATAACAGAATAATTTATTTACAATTTTGTATATTAAAGAGTTATAAATGTAAAAACTTGCAGCTAGACTTTTATAATGGTTCATTCTAGCGTTTTTCTCGTTTTCAAAATTTTGTCTATTGTGTTCATTTTCTAATGTAATTTGTTTCTTGAGGTATAGAACATGAAATTTTTCTTCAACGAAATGTTGATATAGATCAAGAACAGTGAAAATACCGTCTAACAACGCTAGGTATTTGCCTTTCTTTTTTAAAAATAATTCAGTAAGCATATAAATTTGTAGCGGAATGCCTAAAATTTCATAATTTGGAAAAGACATGATATTTTTTCTTATTTTATTGAAAGTTTCGTTTAACTCTTTATCTTTAATCGATAAACGGTTTTTAATATATTCTTTTTGTTCGTCTTCACTAAATTGTTTCATATTTCGTGAAAACGTACCTAACTCGTTTTCCAACATACCCCTTAAACTGATTCGAGAAGTCAACCATTGCTTCACTCCTTTTTCCGAAAACGCATTTACTAAATCTAAAATGGAAACTTGAGTGGCATCAGATGCTTCATCGAGTCCATCCCATATTAGTTGTATTTGATTTTGTTCCAGCATTGTTTTGAACACTTTGTGGTGGAACGGGTTAGTACATTCTCGACAAGTATCTTCAAAGATGTATTTTAAGAAATTCTCCACGTTTGACCCATGTTTCCTGAAGTGTAAGGCGTGATTTCTGGCGTAGATTAAAATGATCCACTTTGTCGACTTACTACTATTTTTTAAGCTCTTCGCTAATGTGCTTTTTCCCATTCCAGCATCGGCGCAGATAATGTTGATATTTTGTGGGGATTGACTAAAGTACTGACCCTCGCCGATAGTGTACTCCATAAATTCGCTTTGTAAACGAAACCTCTCAAGTTCGTTGATATATTTTCGTTCCGAGCCATAATTCCCACTTTCCATCCACTCCAAACGATGATTGTCTAAATATCTGAAGTGATGGAACTGAATTTCTGAATTATTTTTACACAATGTAGAAAATATTTCCTGTGAAACTTCCTTTCCACAAACACATATCTTCTCTAGATGAATTGTTTTCCGAGTGATCTCAACGTCATTCACCTTGCTGATAACTAAATTTGGTAAAAATTGTTTGAAAGATTTCACATCTGCTACGCAATCAACTAAAACAATTGTGTTTTCACTAGTGTTTTGCAAATATTTAACATCTATTAAAATTTTCGTCAATTTTCTTTCGATATGACTGGGCGGCAGAACATCTTTGTGTTGTCCAAACAGCAATGTAGCTTCCATCATTTCAACTAAATCATCTGCAGTGATGAAGTTGCCGCTATCTTCGCAGATTTCCAGCAAATATTTCAATGCAACGTCTTTTTGACCTTGCAATGAATATGTAAAATTCGTTAGAATTTTTTCATACAACTGTGCGTGTTTTTTTAAATCAGATAACTTTTGAAACAATTGTGGTTTATGCTGGCCACCTGTACTGTCTTGTTCGAAGTCAGTACTAGTCGTCTCATTAAACGTTTGTCGATTATTATCTAGTATAATTAGATTTTTAGCTTGGCATATTTTGACTGCTTGATAAACTTGTGGGGATCCTTTAACGACTAACGGACTTTTTCCCAACAACCACATGAGCTTCGATACTTTTGTTGCGTCTTTATCATAGAGACTATCTTTTGTTTCTATTTTGTTTTCGATAAGTTGGTAGTTGTGATTCACTTCAATCGCTTCTTCCATATCAACTATACCGTCGACAGAATTTGACCAAACTGAATTGATTTTGTTGAAACTGTTTTTCTTTATAAGAGTCACATCAAATTTCGAAACGGCTTCTCGAAAAATTTTTCTTTTGGTGTTCACTAGTCTACCGGTAACAAAAGATAACGGTCTGATAAAAGGTGACAATACACAAAGGGTTATCATTTGTTTCATCCAGGTTTTATTCAATTTGATTTTTTTCCCCTCCTTCATACTCCACTGAGTTATAAAATGTAGATACTCCCGAAAAACGGTTTCATTGCTTTCAAAATGTGTCTTAAACATCTCACGTGTACACGTTTCCAGTCCTTTGGTATTTGTTTGACCAGTATAGAGATACAGATTTTTAAAAAAAGGTCCATATTCTTTGAATTTGTCTTCGTTTTCTTCGAATCTATAGCACTGTCCTCCCAACTTTGAAATACGTGTACTTAACAAGCTGGCTTGTTCACACGGTGTCAATTTGCCAAATTTAAACTGACCTATGTGCTCATCGTTTAACTTAGAATTGGTAAACAAAACCATCTTGGTAGGACGTTCAGACAACTTCGGCTCTTTTTTGAAGCCTTTATAATACTTCTCGATGCTAAAGTTTCCACTCGATGCATTTAACTGCTCAATTTGTATTCCTCCTGTTTTGCTGACGTGTTTCAACTGAATAGCAAACGTTTCGGTACGATTTTTGAATTTAATTTCTACTACAACGTCATCGAAAGAACCATATGCACTATCGTTCGACGACAAATAAAAATTTTCCACGTCATCGTCAATTATTAATTTTAAAATTAAGTTCGCTATGTAGAGGTGTTCGTATTCTTTGCCTAGATCTGTGGTACCACTTCCCTTCTTAAATTTCTGAAAACAATATTTAATAAAGTAAGAGGTCCAATTAAAAAAAAACATTATTTAATCCATAATGGTTGTCGAAGTAGGTGACGTAATCAAACTCATCATGATGACCATGGTCTAATGCATCGACAACCATTTTGAAATATTGTTAAAATGCAGTTAAAATGATTGAAACATTTTTCATAAACACGCTGTACATTATTTCTACTTTCTCAGTTAGAGCAGCTTTAATGTGTAGTTTTAACCCAACCCAAATTCAATTTCAGTTGCCAAATAAAATTTGAGTGAGGGCAAATATTAACATGTTTTTCATTAGATATGTGCCATCTTGATGTTGCAAAAAGTCTGTTAGAAAAAAACATAGATATGGCAGTTTAGTTCTTTACTTAATCTCAATTAAAACATTCTATAAACTGGACTTTAGTGTGGTTAATTAATTAATCAATCTTCTCCTGCGCACTGAAGAGTCAAAATCAATCAAATTTCATTTTTTTTTTTAACCGCTAATGCTTGAAATTTGAACGTGCCAATACTTAAATTCTTTCGAAGTATTCACAAAAGAGTTGAAGTTATGCATGTACTGAGCAATTGAGAATATTGTATTCTTTGCCGTTGTATTAAGTAATCTTAACGAAGGTCAAAAGGATGTTTAATTGAAATAATTGATAGAACCCTGCGAAGATAACGGCCACTTTACCACAGACGATTTTGTTGAAACAAATTCCGCTTGTTTGAAAAATTATAGAAAGTTTCTGTTTTCTGATAACCTTTACACATAGGTATGTAGTAAAAACCAGTGGCAAATAACCAACGGAAAAGGGTGTATTATTGTCAATGTACATGCATAACTTCGATTGTTTATGTTTATACATCGAAAGAATGTCACGTAGAAATTTGTTGAATTTGAATGAGTTGTCTCCTCAAAACAGAATACAAAAATTATTAATTAAGACGCAAAGGAACAAAATATCTTGAAAATGATTATTCTTATTTTATCATAATTAAATAAGGACGTGGGAATTCTCACATTTTCTAAAAATGAGGTTCTGAATTTGATCATCCACGTGATATTTTTAATATGTATACATACAAAATTTGACAGCAAACGGTTCACCAGAGATTACGTGTCTGATAAAAATGGATACAGACAGACAGACGAATGGAAGCAGGAGACTGCTTTTTTCGTATCGTAGGGGTCATGAAACGTCGAGAAATCATAACAGTGGCCATTCGTTCGATGGACTCGATTACAATACCTCCTTCACTTACGCTCGGGAAGTAAAAATACCATCGAATATGCATTCAAAATGATTTGTACCTTAGGATTGAAGAAAGTTGTGTTGAAATACTTTTGGGCCAACTTTCTAAAATTTCATTTATTTCATTTAAACAATAATCTAAAATTATTACCGTGTGACGCAGTTTATTGCAAAAGGTTTAATGCACTCATAAACCATTAATCATTTAACTACTTCGTACTAAAATGCAATTTTTATTAGATAGATTTTTAATAGATCTTACTTTCATTGTGTGGATTAATAAAGCATAAATATAGAAATTATTAATTAAATTGTTGTTGGGAATGATCAGATAATACAGCGTGATCAACAAGTACATTTAAGTGGGTACCAATTAATTTTGCTTGAATTTTATTTACGTCAAAATTTGTTATCCATTATCATTTAAATGATAATGATAACTAGAGAGCGGATTTTATGAAATTTGCGTATCCGTTGTAGTTTGCATATAAGTCTTGATATGTAATAATATGTGCACGAATTATGCTAGTTAGAAATAAATATAGCTACAAAAAAATATTTCACGTAACCCTAATGTAGAAATACGAAATTTCATGAATTATATTGTAAATATTCTCCGGAGTTTCAAATAACCAGGAAAGGTTTGGGTTTTATGGTACTTTGGAAAGACCACTCGGTGTTAAACCGCCCTTCCAGGTAAATTCAGCCCCTAAACACGTGTCAATATATCGAACATAACTCGAATGAATTGTTTCTGGATTAAACAAGTTTGGAAGTGTGCTATTACCTAATTCACCTCAATCTCAAGGGTAGAAAGTGGCATATGTCACTTATTTGTCACTTTCCACCCAAGAGATGGAAGTGAATGTCACTTTCGACCCTAAAACGTTACGTATGTGTAATTAATGGTAGATGGAAATCTAAAAATAAATTGTTACCAAAATAGTAATTAAATAGTCGATTACTACTATTTTTTAATTTGTTCTGTTTATATTTATTTTTTAGGATAAGAATATTATCTTTAAAAATGTTATTTATGTATATTTTGTAATAAAACGTTAGCTTGAGAAACCTGTTTTTGTAATTTGTAAATAAATTCAGTTCGATTAGTGACGTTTTTTTTTTTATTTTTGGAGCATATGCAACTGCATTTCTCTGCATATATTAATAAAGTTACTGCATATTATATTAATAGTCATCATTCTCAAAATGTTGGTGCATATTTCCGCTTTCTAGTTATAACTAAATCAACTAAACTGTCTTCAGCGCTTTAAAGTTACATAGCGCCAAGCATTTGACAATAGCAGCCTAAGAAAGTTCCCTCAGAATTAGTAATTTTATTGCCAACTCAAACAGTACCTGTCGATCCCACTGTATTTACCACCTACAGCTACACAATACTTGTAAAATATTAAATTAACATTAATATTAAACAAACTTACCTGGGAAGAATTTTCAGGTGTTTCACATTGTTCATCGATATTTGTTATTCTCGAAATCTAGAAACGCAATTGCAAATAATTTATTATAAAAAGTATTGAGCACCAATAACTTACGGTTGCCATGTTTAATTAGAACAAAAAATGCAATGAAAATAACTTTGGTCACTGTTATTGTGGTACATGTAGACTGTAAAGCCATTTTGATAGAGATGCAATAAAACAATCAATAGGTATTATAAAAAAAATAATCTTATCTCTTAAAAAGCTTCTAAGAAAAATGGTCCTCCTAAATCCCCCGTTTTGATCGCCCATGTTAAGGCCCATTTTAGCTTTTTACTTTCCGAGCGTAAGCGAAGGAAGTATTGTAATCGAGTCCGTCGGCCCACTCTCTACATTTACGTTTCCTCGACCTTGCATGACCCCTACAGAACGAAACAATAGGTCTCCCGTTTCCATATGTCTGTCTGCCGTACCGATTTTTATTATACAGATAATAAAATACTGGGCCGATTGTTGAATTTTGTATTTATATTGGGAACGTAAATAGGTTTTAAATTGTATGAAGTAACATAGTCCTACACATGTAGTCTATGATTCCGAATTGAGTTTTTACCCGAAACGTCCAGATTTTTGGAAAAAAAAAATTAAAATTATAAAACAACATGTTGCAATGCTTTGAAATCTTGCAGGTGTTTTAAGGTTACAAAGAGTATAATAAATTTTTAGTCAAAATATATTTGCTTATCCCCTCCAAAAAATTGATGACGTCAGCTCAAAAATTTGTCGAATAAATCCTACCTAACATGTACAAAATATGATGAGGATGTACTTGTAATTTATCATCCCATTCATATTTTTTGGATTTGCATATACAGGGTGACTCAAACAATTAATGAATGCGTAAATTTATTTTATTGATTTACTCAGCAACTACAAAACCGAATGCTTTGAAATCTTGAAGATGTTTTAAAGTAATAAGCATGGTAAATTTTTGATCAAAATATATTTGTTCATCCGCCCTAAAAAATTGATGACGCCACCCCAAAATTTTGCTGAATAAGTCCTATCCTAAGTGTACAAAATATGATGAGTCTCTTCTTGTGATTTATCATTCCATTAATATTTTTTGACTCAAAAAAATTAATCAATGCGTGAATTTATTTCATTGATTTAATCAGGAACTACAAAAAACAAACAATTATTTGTGATTCATCATAGCGTTCATATTTTTTATTGATGAAATTAAGAACGAGTCACCCCATTTTCACGAAAATGTGAAAATACAGAGGTCTTTATTTAATAAGAATTGTAATAATTATATTCAGGACATTTTGTCGATTGTAGCTTACTACTTAATAGTTTTGCATTTGCTCCACTGTTTTGAGGGGACGAACTCATTAAAATCAGACTAATTTCTACCTGATATTCTTCCGATGTATAAACATAAACACTTTCAAGTTATTTTTCTTGTCGAGGATAACCTAAGGACGTACAGTAATGGAGTCCATCGACAATTTAGTACTTTTATATTTTCTCCTTCAAGTTGAAGTATGCAACCAAATATGAGTCGTTCAATTTCTGTATTATATTCACTCATTTCAAAGTCCAATTGGCAGATTATTATAATCAAGAAAACAATAAATTTGTGTGAGATAAGGGAAAACAGTTTTTAAAGTGATTACTAAAGAGCGGATTTTAGGCAAAAAAAAATATATATCGCTTTCCCAAATTAATTAATTGATGTCAGATTTGCAGGATGTAACCCCCCGTTCGTTCTCGTTTTATTCGTAGTTCGCTGACGGGGAATTCACCAGTTTTTTACCAACGCGTCGCCCGGAGTGCTGATTGGATGACGACTTTTACCGAAAGTGGTTCGTGGGAGTTCGGTGCCACTTGATGTTGCGTTGTAAAACAATTCGACAAGTTTTTTAGTTGTGGGGTGTAGGAAGAAGGACGTGGACGTACTCTGTAAATGTAAGTAAAGATGTGGATGAAAGTTGTGTAATAGTGTTATTATTGCATGGGTTACTTTATGATATGATACATTGTGAAATATGTTGGATGCCCTTTTTTTTCAAGTCAAGGCTAACTAAAAATCACAAAAGTTGCGTAAATATGTGAAAGGCAATTTTGAATTGGTAGTTTCGGGGTGTAATAAAATTGCAAACAGACGAAAATGGGGATATAAATAAAAAATGACGACTTGCAAACTCCAGAATTTTTTTATTTCGCACTTTGAGTAAGCACGTAATGAAGAATTTTTATAAATTGAACGTAACATACATAACATTTTTATTATGTTATTAATAAAATAATAGTCATATAGTCTACAAAAGTGCTTTTAACAAACTTACTACAAATTAAAAAAAAAATCTATGTCTGCCCGGAATGTACGATTGTCCATTTTTTAAGACCGGATTGACAGGATAAAGATAAACAAAGACAACTTTAAACATGGTTTACGATTAATGAAACAATGTTAGTTAATATCTCAACAATCTTATCACAACGTTTAAGCTCTGCGATAATAGCGATAATTTCAATACAAGTAGAGGTCATCAGCTTCTAGTGGGGACATATATATAATCAATCTCCCTTACCAAAATTGCTAACACAAAATTGTAAAATTTCAATCGATATATATATATATATATCACGATAGCCGAGTGTTTAAACAATGCTTTTATTATTTATCTATTAAAGAATTGTAGATGATTGCATTATAGATTTATAGAATTGACGGTAAATAAACATTTAAAATACGTAGATCAATATATATGAGAGCTATATTTGTATATCGCATACGTTGCATCATTTCATAAAAATGATATTAAAAACTGCGCCTTAATTTTTGGATTTTTCAATTTCCCGATATTCAGTTTTTCGGTTACTGAATTTTCCGAAATTTTACTGTTAGGATTTTTCAAATTTTCGATTCTTCAATTTTTCAACTCTTCAAATTTTCGATTTTTTGATGTCTCAATTTTCCTATGTTATGTTTAAAATTATAGATTTTTCTGCATTTTGAAGTTTCGATTTTTCAGTTTTTCAATTCCTTAATTTTTCGATTTCTAAGTTTGCGGACTTTTCGATTTTTAGATTTTTGATTTTTCATTTTTTTTATTTTTTGTTACATATCTGAGCATTGACTGTCCGTACATGCTCAGGTATATATAAAAGCAAATACTCGCTAATACTCAAGTAGGTACTTCGTACTTCGAGTATGAACATCTATTCAGTTTTATAAATACTACCCATTGCGTTGTATTAAAATTTTAGATTCGTTTCAAAAAAGAAGACGGTGCCCGACACCATTCTCCGCAAAAGTGTGTGTACTCGTCTGAGGTGAGTTTTCAAATAGTGCAAACCAAAAATGTACAAATCGGAAATTTTAGATTACGCTAACGAGTGTAATGAAGTGAACATGCTGCTGAATAACATCAAGAAAGCCAAACCCTTGAGAGTGTCTTATAAATCGTTCCTCGAAGAAGAAGTCGACAATGAAGAAATTTTATGGAAATTTATATCGATACAACCCTACAACAGGAAGGATGTAAAGAAAGCGTCAAAGTTTTTGATGAAGAGAAGCAAATTTAACTACAAGGGGCAGTACCGCATTTTTAAGAGTCTCGACGAGTTTGTGGGGAAATTCAGCGTTCCTGAAAACGAGGGGCCGCTGTTTGTCGTTTTGCCAAAATCGGTAGATCTTTGGGTTGTTTTTTGTCTGATATGGGCAGATCGTGGTGAAAGCACAGTTTTGTACAAGGACTCGTCCGGTGCTTCCGTTCCTCTAGAAGTTAAGAAAACATTGACAAATCTAGTGCCAGACGTGGAATTTATTGTCCACAAGAACCAAGACCACGAAGAAGACGAAGATTTCCTTTATGGACCCCTCTGTCTAAGAAACTTGGAAATCTTGTTGAAGTTTTTCGCGAAGAAACCACGCGATGTAGCTAACGAGTTTCTTGAAATATCGTTTTGTAACGGATCCGAAATCAACAAACAAAAATTCGATGCTGCCGTCAGCCTTACTTTTCATTTGTCGAAGAATGCCGAATTCAAAGCGTATTTGCAACAGTTCGTAAAGAAGTTGCCAAGAAAACTGGCAAGTGACGTCGCCGACTATCACAAAATTTTGAAAGAAGAGCTCGAGAAAGACGAAAAGGACGTAAACCACGTGAGACTCGAAGAAGCCAGAAAAAAATGTCTCCAAGAAGAGCACATTAAGAAGTTTTCCGAAGACTTCAAAATCCGTGTAGACGATAAAGCGCAGGAGTATCGACTAGAGGCTGCTGAAGATTTTTCCAAAGAAATGAAACGCTTGCGGCAAATTTTTCTGATTCTCCAATCCTGCAAAAATGACGAACGATTCCCAGAAACACTAGAAATGGTACACAAACGGCTTGGTGTCGATTACAACGAAATAAAGTCGCTTGGGCAACAAATCACAGAACAAGAAGAAACAAAAGAAGATGATTCTCTCGTCCCTGAAGATATCAGCACCCTTGTCGAAGACATCGCCAAAAATGGTCAACACAACGAAGAAATTCCATCAGTTGAGTCTACCCCGATGGAAGATTTGTTGCCTCAGATTCACTTTCACATGGACCAAGACGATCCACAACAAGAACAAACTGATCTTAAACGGATACAAGACAAATTGTTATTAGTTAAAACTAAGTACGAAAAGTGGAAAGATAATGGTCTTGAAGCTATCAATAAGTGGGCGAAAAAGAAGAAAGGTCATTTGGGTACTGATGACAACTCTGTTTGTGAAGCAATTGCCGTCATGGATAGAGCTTTCAATTTATTAAAACATAGACGTCGACTTCGTTCAACCCAAATTTTGTCAATACTAATTTTTTTCCACGATCGGAAGAATAAAGGCCAGTTGTGTCAAATACAAACCGGCGAGGGCAAAACGCTCATCGTTTGTCTACTGGCTGTTATTAAGGCACTCCAAGGTTTGACAGTCGATGTTATAACCAGCAATCCAGTTTTAGCCCAAGATGCTGTCAACGAAAACAAAGATTTTTACAAGGTGTTTGGGTTGACTG